TAAAATCCCAGAGGAAATGAACTGGGTCCCCATTTTATTCCAATAAATACACTCGCTCGATATGCTCTCACCATACAAATCAAGGAGAAGAAAAACAAAAGGAGAGAAAGGTTTAATACGCATCTCGTTATGTTCGTAAAGCTCCATAAATTCCAACTAAAAGCAACTCCAACCTCTCCTGCACCACTTCAAGAGCTTTTCAAATGACTCTGCCGGTACATATAACACATGCTGCTGGGCTCCCACTTCAAACACACTGGCTTTATGGTAAACGTTTGACACACACACACACACACACACACACACACACATCACACACACACACACACACACCACACACCACACACACACACACACACACACACACACACACACACACACACACACACACCACACCACACACACACACCACACACACCACACACACACACACACCCACACACACACACACACACACACACACAGGATGAATTTCTCACATTTAAACGTGCGATCCTCCCAACTAACAGCTTAAACAGACTTTGAAGTGCGCTTCACTCGGCCGTTAATGGGAAACATTATTCAGGCAGGGAACTCTTTGCCAAAAAGCTTTACATTGAAACTCAATCTGAAGAGCACACACACAGTGAATCACACACACATTAAAACACACACACACAGAGAGAGATGGAAGAAGGTTTTAGGTCCTAGAAATATTATGGTCTTACAGTACTCTAATACAGGTAAAAGGTCCACCTGAACATCAGCAGGACAGGACTCTTTAAAGTAGAGACACTACATACTGATATACACCTGAACATCAGCAGGACAGGACTCTTTAAAGTAGAGACACTACATACTGATATACACCTGAACATCAGCAGGAGAGGACTCTTTAAAGTAGAGACACTACATGCTGATATACACCTGAACATCAGCAGGAGAGGACTCTTGTAAAGTAGAGACACTACATACTGATATACACCTGAACATCAGCAGGAGAGGACTCTTTAAAGTAGAGACACTACATACTGATATACACCTGAACATCAGCAGGAGAGGACTCTTTAAAGTAGAAACACTACATACTGATATACACCTGGACATCAGCAGGAGAGGACTCTTTAAAGTAGAGACACTACATACTGATATACACCTGAACATCAGCAGGAGAGGACTCTTTAAAGTAGAGACACTACATACTGATATACACCTGAACATCAGCAGGAGAGGACTCTTTAAAGTAGAGACACTACATACTGATATACACCTGAACATCAGCAGGAGAGGACTCTTTAAAGTAGAGACACTACATACTGATATACACCTGAACATCAGCAGGAGAGGACTCTTTAAAGTAGAGACACTACATACTGATATACACCTGAACATCAGCAGGAGAGGACTCTTTAAGTAGAGACACTACATACTGATATACACCTGAACATCAGCAGGAGAGGACTCTTTAAAGTAGAGACACTACATACTGATATACACCTGAACATCAGCAGGAGAGGACTCTTTAAAGTAGAGACACTACATACTGATATACACCTGAACATCAGCAGGAGAGGACTCTTTAAAGTAGAGACACTACATACTGATATACACCTGAACATCAGCAGGAGAGGACTCTTTAAAGTAGAGACACTACATACTGATATACACCTGAACATCAGCAGGAGAGGACTCTTTAAAGTAGAGACACTACATACTGATATACACCTGAACATCAGCAGGAGAGGACTCTTTAAAGTAGAGACACTACATACTGATATACACCTGAACATCAGCAGGAGAGGACTCTTTAAAGTAGAGACACTACATACTGATATACACCTGAACATCAGCAGGAGAGGACTCTTTAAAGTGGAGACAAAGGAGAGACACTAAACACAAATATGAACCTGGAAAGGAACAGAATATGTCCTCTTTAAAAATGAGAAACTAGTGCCCTTACTAACTAATTTCAGCTTTCATTTGGCTGCAGTATGTCTGTGCCCTGCCCTCTGCTGACTCTACATATTGCATTCAATAAAAATCCTTCTTACATAAGTGAGAAATCATTCACATTAGAGCAGTCTCTGATTTCCTTCCAGACCCTCACAGATGGGGAACTGGGCCCTGCACCAACATACAACCTCAATCAAATTACTCTGCCTCCCTCCACCCAGAATGACGACGAGAGCCTTCATTAGGGCTGCTTTTGGAGGCATGCATCAGAGTAAATAACTTGATAAATTGTATTACTTCAACCTCACTGAGCACAGTATCAGTCACAATATGCTTGTGGGTTTGTGCAGTGGTGGCATGTAAAAGAGTCCTTTTTGGGCCCCATGGATGAGGAAGATCCAATGTTTTTGTCAGCCTATTTTGGCTTTATGCACACTGAGCAACTTCACATTAATAAAAGGGTCTTCGCCTCCAACACTGGCAGAGGTGGGAAGTAATGCAGTACAAATACTTCGTTACTCTACTTAAGTAAATGTTTCTGGTTTCAGTACTTCACTCCACTACTTTTTACTTTTTACATTTTGAACATAAATACCTGTACTTTCTACTTCTTACATGTTGAACACAAATACCTGTACTTTCTACTTCTTACATGTTGAACACAAATACCTGTACTTTCTACTTCTTACATGTTGAACTCAAATACCTGTACTTTCTACTTCTAACATGTTGAACTCAAATACCTGTACTTTCTACTTCTTACATGTTGAACCCAAATACCTGTACTTTCTACTTCTCACATGTTGAACTCAAATACCTGTACTTTCTACTTCTTACATGTTGAACTCAAATACCTGTACTTTCTACTTCTTACATGTTGAACTCAAATACCTGTACTTTCTACTTCTTACATGTTGAACCCAAATACCTGTACTTTCTACTTCTTACATGTTGAACTCAAATACCTGTACTTTCTACTTCTCACATGTTGAACACAAATACCTGTACTTTCTACTTCTTACATGTTGAACTCAAATACCTGTACTTTCTACTTCTTACATGTTGAACTCAAATACCTGTACTTTCTACTTCTTACATGTTGAACTCAAATACCTGTACTTTCTACTTCTTACATGTTGAACTCAAATACCTGTACTTTCTACTTCTTACATGTTGAACCCAAATACCTGTACTTTCTACTTCTTACATGTTGAACCCAAATACCTGTACTTTCTACTTCTTACATGTTGAACTCAAATACCTGTACTTTCTACTTCTCACATGTTGAACTCAAATACCTGTACTTTCTACTTCTTACATGTTGAACCCAAATACCTGAACTTTCTACTTCTTACATGTTGAACCCAAATACCTGTACTTTCTACTTCTCACATGTTGAACCCAAATACCTGAACTTTCTACTTCTTACATGTTGAACCCAAATACCTGTACTTTCTACTTCTTACATGTTGAACACAAATACCTGTACTTTCTACTTCTTACATGTTGAACCCAAATACCTGAACTTTCTACTTCTTACATGTTGAACACAAATACCTGTACTTTCTACTTCTTACATGTTGAACACAAATACCTGTACTTTCTACTTCTTACATGTTGAACCCAAATACCTGTACTTTCTACTTCTTACATGTTGAACTCAAATACCTGTACTTTCTACTTCTTACATGTTGAACCCAAATACCTGTACTTTCTACTTCTTACATGTTGAACACAAATACCTGTACTTTCTACTTCTTACATGTTGAACTCAAATACCTGTACTTTCTACTTCTTACATGTTGAACCCAAATACCTGTACTTTCTACTTCTTACATGTTGAACTCAAATACCTGAACTTTCTACTTCTTACATGTTGAACACAAATACCTGTACTTTCTACTTCTTACATGTTGAACACAAATACCTGTACTTTCTACTTCTTACATGTTGAACACAAATACCTGTACTTTCTACTTCTTACACGTTGAACTCAAATACCTGTACTTTCTACTTCTCACATGTTGAACACAAATACCTGTACTTTCTACTTCTCACATGTTGAACACAAATACCTGTACTTTCTACTTCTTACATGTTGAACTCAAATACCTGTACTTTCTACTTCTTACATGTTGAACTCAAATACCTGTACTTTCTACTTCTTACATGTTGAACTCAAATACCTGTACTTTCTACTTCTTACATGTTGAACTCAAATACCTGTACTTTCTACTTCTTACATGTTGAACTCAAATACCTGTACTTTCTACTTCTTACATGTTGAACACAAATACCTGTACTTTCTACTTCTTACATGTTGAACTCAAATACTTGTACTTTCTACTTCTTACATGTTGAACTCAAATACCTGTACTTTCTACTTCTTACATGTTGAACACAAATACCTGTACTTTCTACTTCTTACATGTTGAACTCAAATACTTGTACTTTCTACTTCTTACATGTTGAACTCAAATACCTGTACTTTCTACTTCTTACATGTTGAACACAAATACCTGTACTTTCTACTTCTTACATGTTGAACTCAAATACTTGTACTTTCTACTTCTCTCATTTCCCAAACAGCTGGTTCCTTTAGTCTGAATGTGTGTTTGATGCGTGATCATTATTCTTTAGAGTCATTGCGTGCCTATTGATTTGAACACGATCCGTGTATCCATCATTTCCTGGTCTTCTCTAAAGAAGAGGGACCAATGGAAACGTTGTCATGTTGCCGTTGTTCAGCATGGAAACATTCATTAGCTAACAATGACATTATTGTTCTATTAATATAAAGGGAGGTCAGGTACTCTTTAAAGCAGCTGCTAGCTATGGGTACTTTTTACTGAAGTACATTTCAAAGCCTCTTTACTTTGACTTGAGTAAAGAAGTTTAGTCAGTACTTCTACTTTTACCAGAGTATTTTTAAACACGAGTATCTGTACTTCTACTTGAGTAAAGGATGTGTGTACTTTTGCCATCTCTGAACACTGTATCTAGTTCTCTCCATACATCCATGGTACAATCTAACTTGGTGCTCCTCTCCCTCTTGTTTTCCTCGATAGCATGTGATTGCCATCCAGTGGGAGCAGCAGGGAAGACGTGTAACCAGACGACAGGACAGTGTCCCTGCAAGGACGGAGTGACGGGGATCACCTGTAACCGCTGTGCTAAAGGCTACCAGCAGAGCCGCTCCCCCATCGCACCCTGCATCAGTAAGGCCTACTTTTACCACCTTTACACACAATGATAGTCAAAAACATTGAGTTTGAAACGGTTGAAACTCCTTGTGGTGGAAATGCACACAATCACCTTCTGGTAAGAAAATATACGAGGTTAGAACTGATACATTTAAAGTTACAGTGACATATAATTAATGAGACTTATGATACATTTCTACGATACTCCTCAGCCTAGACGTTGGCCATCTTGGCTACGTAACAGAAGATTGCGGTTGCTCCGCCAAACTCAGCACCATACAAACAAAAGTTATACATGTTGTATTTTTTTCACAATTGAATACACAAACCACTTTACTAAGGGGTCAACTTAGGTTAATTGATCAGTCTGTAATGATTTGCAACCACAACCGATAATGATTCTAGATAGATAGCTAGGTAATAGTTGCTATTGTCACTTCACGGTCAAATTTCACACACTGTGCAAATGTTCAAATGGCAGCGTACTAAATTATCCAAATTGAGACACAAAATCTGTACGCTAATTGGTTTAGCTTAATAGCTAACAGTACAGTTAGTTCCCCCAGTTTATTCACAGGCCGTTGTGTCCTTGGGCAAGACACTTCACCCGGATTTGCTCCTGTGGGTATTGTCCACAGTACATGTATGATATCAATGTGTACTTGTAAAAGCGCCTCGATGACCTCGAGGCGTGAAGATGGACGGTGTGGCGCAGTGCGCTGTGCAATGATCATCAGATCAAGGGGTGAAACCCGCCGCTGCTGCGCCTGTAAAGCCGGTGTGTCCTTGGGCAAGACACTTCACCTGAACTTGCTCCTGTGGGTATTGTCCACAGTATCTGACCATTGCATGTATGATATGTGTAATGTGTATTTGTAAAGCGCTTTGAGTCATTGAAAAAGCGCTATAATAAATGTAAGGAATTATTATTATTAGATGTAGTTTGTGTACTAGGGACTCCAGTCAGCAACAATTTCCTCTTTTGTTTAGAAGTGTCTACTCTTACGAAGTCTATGTTTTACAAAGGATGATGGTGACGCAGCTAATACGCTTCCTCCATGAACAGGGATTGTCAGGATCCCTTGCAATGGATTGATTGCAGAATACCGTAAATGGCAAATCTCACAGTCAAGCTTAAATACTCTGACCCCATCAGCGATAAACACCATTATCAACAACCAATGAAAAGCTTTTGAGTAAGAAATGAAGTTTTTCTAAGCTAAAGACTTTGCTAACATTCAGTTTTTGGACTTGTTGGTTTAGCTTGATTGCTAACAGGACGATAGGGTTGATCATTTAAAAAGAAAAGTCTCAAAACAGTCAGGAAGCTAGTCTTCTTTTGACGAGCAGTTCATATTCTAATAATGGATGTTAAATAAAGGTTAAAGGTGCCGCTACATTTTTTTAAAAATAGCTAACTTAATTGGACTGTGGCTCACATTTCCCTCAAAGGTCAACCGTGTGTCAAGAGAGTTAGCTATTGGTCACCAGAGGAAGTTAATGGACCCATTACAATTAAAATGGAAGAGGATGGTTTGACCCTAACTTTAGCCAAGCTTTAAAGGTCCCCTATTATTCTGTTCTTCATCAATATATTATAGGTCTCAGATATATCCAGAGCCTGTCTCTGATTGGCTGAAACACCAAACAGATCATTGCAGCATGAAAAAGTGGATTTTGCATTAATAGGTGACCTTTAATAATCGAACTGCTATTATCACACCCTCAGAAAAAAGCTCAGGACCTGAAAAGGGCAGCGTCTTCTTGTTACGCATGGATTCATCACCCATCTTGTGTTATTTCTAAGATATTTTGGATAGATATTTGGCTTGTTTAAACCAGAGCCCTGGATAAACAGACCATTAGTGCTTTCCTAACATGGCCCTTCAACATCGCCTCACAATAAATCCCCAGAACAAGTCCAAGGGAACGATGGCTGATATGTTTATTGGCTGTATCTGCCGGCTGCAGATTCCAGGCCCTCGGCAATAAACGCCAAATGCCTGCCAGAAACAGAGATGTGTCGCTGGTAGCTTCTTTAGCTTTGAGCTGGCTGCCACGGACAGATAAGATAACACTGATGTCTTGGAGGACATGTACACAAATTGTCCACTGTGTAACTGGGGATGACATTTCTGATAAAGTCGTGTTTGGAAATTGGACTCTATGGACTTGTTTGGCCTGAATCCACAGTGATAAACCTGGAAAAGGATTTATATTTCTTTTCATAAGGAAGGTAACAAATGTGGTGTAGAAGTTGGAGGAAATGCCTTTTTTTGAAGAATATACGTGATTTCTCGTATATTTTTTTAGATGTCTCTGGGTTTTAATAGTGATATAACACTTTTGTGATGTCTAACTCCCTGCCAGCTACAGCTTTTACAAGAGCATCACCCCTTGGCTCTCTTCAATTACAATCAGAAGGGAATAATAGAAAATCTCATCGTCTTTTTACACTTTATTCAACGAATGTCAAAATCATCCCATTAAAATACCTAAAAGAGGTTTTTGACATTCAAATTCTGCTCTTGGGAGAATAACCAGGAAATTGAGCTACGTATATTTCTCAATTACATATGTTTTATTCTGTTTGCAATGCAATGTGATCACAAAGTAAAAATATTTTCCTCTTTTTGTCGCAGAGATCCCAGTTGCATCCCCGACAGCGTCTTACACCAGCTACGAGGAGCCGTCAGGTGAGCAAAACAACTGATTTTACAACTAAATCTTCTGGATTAAAGTCATATTTTGATGCTCTGTTGTGATATAATATTGATAACGAGACATGAAGAAGCGGGGACACGTGTTGATGTAGAAAAGACATGAAAAAGTGGATTTTGCATAATAGGTGACCTTTAAATCCAATTAAAAGCCAAATGTAGGTGTTTAATTATCCAAGGAACTTTACTGTTGTGTGCAGGAAGTCATTGCCTCGTCATGAATGTAACTAAGCGTGCATTTCTAGCACACACATGTTTTCCATCCCTTCATAGTCTCACTCTTGCACTAAACACACCTCAGAGTGCGGCTGATGTGAACTCCAGATATTTTTCCAGTTCTCCCTTTACCGCCTGTATTCCAGCCTGTATTCCCCGCCTGTATTCTCAGCCAGTATTCCAGCCTGTATTCCCAGCCGGTATTCCAGCCTGTATTCCAGCTTGTATTCCAGCCTGTATTCCCTGCCGGTATTCCAGCCAGTATTCCAGCTTGTATTCCAGCCTGTATTCCCTGCCGGTATTCCAGCCTGTATTCCAGCTTGTATTCCAGCCTGTATTCCCTGCCGGTATTCCAGCCTGTATTCCAGCTTGTATTCCAGCCTGTATTCCCAGCCTGTATTCCAGCCAGTATTCCAGCCTGTATTCCAGCTTGTATTCCAGCCTGTATTCCCTGCCGGTATTCCAGCCAGTATTCCAACCGGTATTCCCAGCCGGTATTCTAGCCTGTATTTCAGCTTGTATTCCAGCCTGTATTCCCAGCCGGTATTCCAGCCTGTATTCCCAGCCGGTATTCCAGCCTGTATTCCAGCCAGTATTCCAGCCTGTATTCTAAAATATCGACCTGCAGCTTCAGAGTCATTTCTGTCCTTTATTGGCTTGAAGAGTGGTGAAGGAATAAGTCCTGGAACTCAGAAATGAGTCAGCGTTTTAGCACTTCCTGTTCCCTGGTCTGGAAGTCAATGGTTTTCTGAATGTGTTTTTTTGCCTGAATTAAGATATGTGGTTAACACAAGCTGAAGAGATTTTTAACGTTTTGTTCTAGGACATAAAATACATCAGTAAATACCCCACTGGTGGATTTAAAAACGGCGTTGCTAACAAGTGTCTAAATGAGACGACTAAACGTCATCACGCCCAACATTAGCCTCCTTTAGCTTAGCGGTGGTGACGTGAATTCATGTGACCGTGCTGTAGTTCCTTTATAGCCCAACATTAACCTCCTTTAACTTAGCGGTGGTGACGTGAAGTCATGTCACCGTGCTGTAGTTCCTTTATAGCCCAACATTAGCCGCCTTTAGCTTAGCGATGGTGACGTGAAGTCATGTGACCGTGCTGTAGTTCCTTTATAGCCCAACATTAGCCACCTTTAGCTTAGCGATGGTGACGTGAAGTCATGTGACCGCGCTGTAATTCCTTTATAGCCCAACATTAGCCGCCTTTAGCTTAGCGGTGGTGACGTGAAGTCATGTTACCGTGCCGTAGTTCCTTTATAGCCTAATGTTAGCTTTTTACATCAGAAATCACAAAGTGGTGTTAAAATGTGGAGATTATCCTGCTGAACAAAACGTGTCAGTATCATAAACGTTTGTTTGACACAGATTATTTCCTGCAGTAATCCAAAGGTAAAATCCAATTGGACTTCTGGGTCAGACCACAGAAATACGTCATTATTAAAACCACTTTACTTTGTTGAAAGAGCCCTTGCGATGCTATCTTCTAAGTCAGCCTACAACAAATAAAGTCCTCCCTGCCTCACTTATTTTAATGTTGGCTTTAAATAAAATGTGATGTACAGTGTGTAAACCTGTTACCTTAGATGTTTAAGTATTTATTAAATTAAAGTCATTTGAGTAGTTTACACCATGATTCAGGTTTAGTTGAGTCACTTCCGATCATCAATCAGCGTCTAATGAGAGCGGCGCCACTGACTTCATTCAGCTTTCTTCTGGGTCCCACTTCCTACTATAGTGCCGGCGAGGCTGTGTGGAGTTTGGATTCCTGTCAGAAACTCCACACCCTGCAAATTAGCAGCAGTGTGGTCCCCCGAGACCCCGAAGAGACAAACAAAGGAGGTGTTTGTCCTCTCGGCGGGAGATCGGCCCTTAATGAGAGCTGTGGGTGTAATGGCTAATGGGCAACGTCAGAATCTCTTTATTTGACCCGCAGCGGGGAAATACAGAATCAGAATCACGTTTAATACCAGGTACTGTACGTTAAAACAAAAAAGAAAGTTGCTTTGGTATATGATGGTGCATACAGAAACAACATAAGAAAACAAGTTGTAAAAAATATAAGGATTGTAACAACAAAAAAACATGTAAAAACGATTTAGCATTAACAAGGTATTTACACCAAGTTTAAATATACAAAAGAAACAATACAAATTGAAAAATGTGTACAATGAATATATGAAAAAGAATGACGAACTGAAATCTGCTCAGGTGGTAGAAGTACAGGTCTTGTACTTGAGTAAAAGTATAAGTACTCAGGTATTGTACTTGAGTAAAAGTAGAAGTACTCAGATCTTGTACTTGAGTAAAAGTAGAAGTACTCAGATCTTGTACTTGAGTAAAAGTATAAGTACTCAGGTATTGTACTTGAGTAAAAGTAGAAGTACTCAGATCTTGTACTTGAGTAAAAGTAGAAGTACTCAGATCTTGTACTTGAGTAAAAGTAGAAGTACTCAGATCTTGTACTTGAGTAAAAGTAGAAGCACTCAGATCTTGTACTTGAGTAAAAGTAGAAGTACTCAGATATTGTACTTGAGTAAAAGTAGAAGTACTCAGATCTTGTACTTGAGTAAAAATAGAAGTACTCAGATGTTGTACTTGAGTAAAAGTAGAAGTACTCAGATCTTGTACTTGAGTAAAAGTAGAAGTACTCAGATCTTGTTCTTGAGTAAAAGTAGAAGTACTCAGATCTTGTACTTGAGTAAAAGTAGAAGTACTCAGATCTTGTACTTGAGTAAAAGTAGAAGTACTCAGATATTGTACTTGAGTAAAAGTAGAAGTACTCAGATATTGTACTTGAGTAAAAGTAGAAGTACTCAGATATTGTACTTGAGTAAAAGTAGAAGTACTCAGATCTTGTACTTGAGTAAAAGTAGAAGTACTAAGATCTTGTACTTGAGTAAAAGTAGAAGTACTCAGATATTGTACTTGAGTAAAAGTAGAAGTACTCAGATCTTGTACTTGAGTAAAAGTAGAAGTACTCAGATCTTGTACTTGTGTAAAAGTAGAAGTACCAGAGTGTAGGAATACTCTATTACAGTAAAAGTCCTGCATTCAAAATGTTCCTCTACATGTAGTGGAGTAAAAGTACAAAGTAGCATACAATGGAAATACTCAAGTAAAGTACAAGTACCTCAAAATTGTACTTAAGTACAGAACTTGAGTACATGTTACTTTACACCTCTGGAAGTCTGTTATATTATATTTTAAAGTGGAAAAAAGTTAAAGTTACAGTATTATAGCAACAAGAGTATTGTGCAGATTCAGTAAAAAAAGTAGACTTCAATATTATAAAAAAGTATGCAAATGTTAACAATAACAACAAAATAAATAAAATAAGTAAACAGATAAGTCAATCATTGTAAAATAATTGCAGTATATAACTGTATAGAAAAGTATGCACACGGTAACAATTATTAAAAACAAAACACAGCAAGAAAAACAATAAGAAATAATACACCATGGTTAAAAAACAACTAAGTAGCAGTATATAATATAAAGAAGTATGCGCACGTTATTAATAAAAAACAACACAATAAATAAAAACAACAACAGACACCATAGTAAAGTAGCCGGTAATATTTACAGATTGTAGATAAAGGGAGGTGTACTAAAGTAGTAGTGGTGGGAGATAAAGACCCCCCCCCCCCTCTGCACTTCATTTACATGGAAATCAGGCGACTCGATATGGACTCGTCCTCAAATTCATTTACTTTGGGATTTCCTCTTTTCTTACTTCAGGCATTCCTGCAGAAATGCTTTTCTCTAAAACACATACACGGATCGGATCCTCGTCCCACGTCCTGAGCTGCTTTTTTTTTGAGAGGAGGAGGAGAGGGGCGTTTTTTTCTTCCTCAATCATTACCCAGGCAACCTCATTCACACGGAGTATAATGGGGAAGAAAGGGGGAGACTGGACAGAGGGCTGGAAGAAATAATGAAGTTTGTCCATATTCAGGCGCACTGAAAGGTCCTCTCTCTCTCTCCACAGCTTTCCCACCCCCCCCACCCCTACCCAGAAAAGGCTTATTGCTTTGGGAGAGGCAAAGTGTGAGGAGGGAAAGGGGGGGGGGCACTCAGAGATGATCTGGTTCCAATTTGTGTCAGAAAGTGGAGGGAACAAATTATTTCAATTTGAGTTTGTCTTCTTGTCCCAACACCACCTCCGTCATCACAAATACCCGGGGGACGGCATCCATTAGAGGTCACCTATTATGCAAAATCCTCCATGTCTCTTCTACATCAACATGTGTCCCCTCTTCTTCATGTCTCTTCTTCATCAACATGTGTCCCCTCTTCTTCATGTCTCTTCTACATCAACATGTGTCCCCTCTTCTTCATGTCTCTTCTACATCAACATGTGTCCCCTCTTCTTCGTGTCTCTTCTACATCAACATGTGTCCCCTCTTCTTCATGTTCTCTTCTACATCAACATGTGTCCCCCTCTTCTTCATGTCTCTTTCTACATCAACATGTGTCCCCTCTTCTTCATGTCTCTTCTACATCAACATGTGTCCCTCTTCTTCGTGTCTCTTCTTACATCAACATGTGTCCCCTCTTCTTCATGTCTCTTCTACATCAACATGTGTCCCCTCTTCTTCCATGTCTCTTCTACATCAACATGTGTCCCCTCTTCTTCATGTCTCTTCTACATCAACATGTGTCCCCTCTTCTTCATGTCTCTTCTACATCAAATGTGTCCCCTCTTCTTCATGTCTCTTCTACATCAACATGTGTCCCCTCTTCTTC